TCCCACCTTAATACCTGGCACACGTGGTAACTTAACACTCAGGGGATTATTCACTTTTATTAAAAACTGATCATTGGATAATGCAATTAAAGAGTTTTCATTGGCTTAATTAGCTGTCATGGTATGCGTACGCATAAGTTTTGGGGCGTTTTTAATTTTTATTCTTAGTAGGTTTCTATATTTTGGAGGCATCTTTTAAAAAACAATCAGTCCAATCGCCCTTGTTGGATATGAGATTGTTGTAGCCAACTCATATCCAACACGCGCTCGTGAAATGATTGCTCTGTGTAGAATATTTAAAAACATCCTACGCAGTTACGTGCTTTATTTATCTAAAACGGAGCAAAGCTTAAGTTTGCCAGGTAGCCTGGTGTTTGCATGGTTTTAAACAGAGTTCAAAATTGCTGCGCAAATATTAAATTACATAAAAGAGCTACTAGGTTTACGTGCTCAAGACTGAATTCCCTCAGATTAGGCACAAAATCATGAAAGAAGTTGGCGGGATCTAAGGCAGTGGTCGCCATAAAAAATCAAATTGATTTTGAAATAATGACGATCTAGGAGAGAATTTGTACCTTGATGTAGGCTTGATGAAATTCTCCCAACTACTACAAGAAGAAATGTAAGAGTCTTAGTAAGGAGATTTCCTAAGTTGAGATTCAGGCTTTTAAAAAAGGTTATTTAAACGGAAGACATATTTCCAGACTACCAAAGCATCGCTCGCGTGAGAACTAAATTTAACTGATCTTCTACGTGCGACCCTGCATAAGCTGAAAATTTACAATCGCTTGATAACCCCGAGGGTTACAGCACTTTGCAGCACTTGATTAATCCTTTAATCTCCAGCAAGAGAGAATAATATGTTTTTGCCTTGTCATAACAAATGTGAACAATCAAATAGGGAAGTCATAAACATAGGCCGTGTAAACACGTTTATCTGTGTTCAAGCCACCCCAAGTTTCGTGTTAAAAAAACATGTTTACAGATCGATATCAGCTTTACAACAGTGACGTTTATTCTTCAAAAGTATATACCGATATTATTTTTAATATTCCCCTGATTACATTAGTATCACGCTATTGTATGTGAAAGTTCCTTACGGGAATGGGGAGGAGGGGAAAGGGGGTTGGGGGACTGGGAGCTCTTAACGGTCGATAAATCCTTCGTAGTGGGAGTATCAACAACTATATTCAACAAGAATGTGAAGATTGAATATATTTTTTTTGTTGTTTATTTTTGCTGTTATTTTGTTTTTTGTGTCATGTTCAGATGTTGCAACTGTAATCGCAAGCCTGCGCGATTTTATTGACAAGAATAGGTTGCGTAATATTCTAGCTTTAGGTTCTAGACTGGGTCCTAGACAG